TTTATGCTAAAGTGGGAAGGAAGAGCTACAAATTATTTTTGCTCAGTCTCCGTTGGAAATCTGGTTCCATTTAACTTTTTTAGTTGCCAAGTATGCATTTCATGAAGGACCAGGCAGAGTGCTGAGCAGAAGGTATCTGTGCAAACACGCTGGAATAATCCTGCATCAATACAGGGATACTGAGCTCACTTAAAACAGAATCTGGAGACAACTAAAAGGTGATAATTTCTGACCCAAAAAGACCCTTTTTCATATACTCCATAATTACATGATAGAACTCACTCCCCAGAAATCACTGAAGGCTGAAGCCAAGAACTCATTACAGTTAAAGGAGAACTTGGACATATGTTGGGATAATAATAAAAAAATTAGATATTCTTGATAATACCAATAATTTTTGGAAGAGATTTCAAATTTCATGCTTCAGGATTTCTAGACTATCTTTGAAAATGAGAACCTGACATGAAACCTAATGGGGAAGTTCTTACACCTTCCACTTATTCAATTGGTGTTGGCCACTCCTAGAGAAGGATACTAGACTAAAATAACTTGGATCTAATCCAGTGAGGCAATTCCTTGTGAAAATGTACTGGTGTCATTGAAATCTTGCAGGCCACCTGTTACACTGAGAACAGTAAAATCCCTAACTTGAGTGTCAGAGCTCAGGGTAAGGTTGTGGACCTGGCAAAAAAGGATTTTTTTTACTTGGATGTTGAGCAACTTTAACTTGGAAATCAGTGAGAACTAGAACTACAGAATCCTATGGTGAACTTTTTATAAAGTCACTTTTCAGCATTTACCTTTAAACTCTGATCAGAAGGTGGAATTTTAGTTTTCAGGCTCACTTTCTGAAAAATCTCATGGTTGAAGTTTCTGTCAGATCAGCTTACTTTCCCTGCAGAGAAAATTGAGGGCAAAGGCTCAGGAGTAAAAGAAATATTATGAAGTCAGTTCAAGAGTTCCCTGCAAGTTGTTCCCTCAGAGGAGACAGGTTAAGAGACCCTAAAAAAAGGGAATCACACTGTTCTTTGGATCCCCTTGTGGCAGCTGACTAGCAGATAGGAGAGTACCCAAGAATGTTAAATATGGAGCTGTAATGCATTGCCTACTGTTAGGATTTCTTCAATTCTACCAACCCTGCCCAAGGAACTCCTCCAGCCCTTCTTTAGTCCTTTTTTCCTGCACCCTATATCTTGTAGAATATCTTTCATGTGAAAGCTAAGCAGTTTTTCTGCAAGTGTCCCCTCAAGACAGGGTTCCCAAAGATGGTTGGTCATTGAACTGAGGCACTCAAATAGGTGAACCTCAGACAAAGGGAAAGCTGAGTGCAATACAGACCTAATGAACTTAAAGCAAGACAGCACACATGATCTGAACTAGGCCTAGGGACATATCCCTCTGCAAATAAGTTTTTGGCATTAATGTTTATGCATTAGTATTTAAAGCTATCATAACGGCACAGAAGCTAAGGCCCCAGCAGTGCAGAGAGGCACACAGCCACTAAAGCCCTGACCTGCAGCTTATTTCCAGCTTGATCATTAGTCTGCTGGTGACCTCATTTAAGTCCTTTTGCCTTGCTGTGTCTCAAGTTCCCCCTTGTTAAAAAGAGGGCCAACGATGCCTCTTTTGTGAACTGCTTTGACATCTCTGGATGAAACATGCCATTGAGAACCAGGAATTCAGCCACTGCGAGAGGCAGACAGCTCCAGAGACCCTTCCCCCTGCTTCCTGCAGGGAAGAGGATTCCAAAATTTTGCAACCTGTTTTCAGTGCCCAGTTTGATGGGGGATTGGATAATCCAATATGCACATATGAATACTCTGATGTGTGCAAGCACACTGTACCAAGGAACCCATGGCTCCTGTTACTGACAGAAAATGGAGGCAAACTGCACCCAGGAAACCAAGAGTGGGGCTACCTGTAAAGGATAAGCAGCCAGAGCCCCATAAATGAGAAGTGCCTCCTGCTGTAGCACAGCAATAGTATGATAGAAGAGTAACTTGGGGAGCTTCATAGGAGAACTACTGCAGTGCTAGCTCTGCTGTTATAGGCCGTCCTGAAAGCTGGTAAACCAAGCATATTAGAGATCACCTGCCAACTGCCCAATGAGTCACATAACCAGAAGAGCTGCTGGCCTCTGGGGCATATAAGCCCAGGCCAGGGCCAGAGCAAACAGTCTGGCCCTGGAGGATGAAGGGAAAGAAACCCTGCAGGGAAATGCCTGCTGCTGCTGGAATAAAATCTTGCTATGCCTATTTGAGCTACAAGTAAGGAGCTGAGGGCTGGCAGAAGATTAGAAACAGCGTGGTTGGTGATTGCATTAGAGAGTTGGCATGCCTGGGAAACCAAGTTACAGCCAGTGCATTTATGTTTTTGGTTTAAGTTAGACTGGTGGTTTGGTAAGGACAAAAAAGGAGTGAGGAGGTCCCAGTAGTGCCCAAGGAGATATGGCTGTCTGAAGTCCTGCCAGAGGGCAGGGGCTTGATTGTGGTAACAGAGAAAAAAGCCTGGGAGAGGCAAAACAGGGCAGAGCTAGGGCCAAGGGGCCTACATCCAAGAGAGGGGTAGAGCTAGGACCAGGAGGCCAATAGCCTAAGGAGGGGCAGAGATAAGAGCCCAACAGAACAAGACAAGGCGTGGAGCCCAAGGAACCAGACCCAGTACAGTAGGTCTAGGGCAGGGGTGGAAAAAATGGCAGATCCAGCTGGTGGCTAGACTCCATTTCCCAGCAGCCCCTACATGCATCACTCCAGCTAGTTTCCTTGGAGACCCCAGGAGCAGTGAGGCCATGACAGGGCAAGGCCAGGGTCTCCATGCAGACATGCCCAAGCCACTGGCAGGGCACACAGCTGGGCAGGGAGCTGCTCTGGGGCAAAGGCTGGGATTTTGCCATGGTGCCACAATCCAATGCCTGCATGCCCCTGACTGGTCTAGGCCAAAAGACCCAGCCAGAGCAAAGGGGGCAGAAGCTGGGAAGGGAGAAGAGGCCTAAGGTGGCCTGGTGGGTGTGCAGCAAGATGCCTACTTAAGTGATGACTGGAAACACTTGTGAGGCATGGGCAGGGCCATGATTAGCCCATAAGGCAACCGATGCCTTGGCACAAGTAGATCAAGA